CAGGGTATATTCCCAGTAGTGGAATTGCTGGGTCAAATGGTATCTCTATTTGCAACTTTTTGAGAAAGCGCCATACTGCTTTCCACAGGGGTTGTACCATTTTACATTCCCACCAACAGTGAATCAGGTTCCTTTTTTAAGTTTTTAAAATCAGAGTGTAAAATAATTTTTAATGGTTTTGGTGGGGTAGAATTTTTCACAGTTCTGTCCTTCTGCAGGTTGCCCAGAGGAAAATTCAGGAAATTCTGACTCAGGTAAAACAACACCAACAGCAGAAGGCTCTGCAAAGTGGACCACCTCAGTCAAGACGAAAATAAAGGCTCAGGAAACAGCCCACCACAGAGGCAGAGATGCCAAACCAAAGACAGATTGCTTAACCAACAGATGGGCGCTGAACCCCTATCCAGAATCACATGCACAAGTTTTTACCTAGCCAGTCGTTTCTTTGAGGACCAGGCAACTTTTGAACTCCTGTCTCTGTGAGAATGTATACTTTATGCTCTCTAAAATCTATGACACCCAGCTTTAAAGAGAATCAAGTGGGGGAGGATGAGAGAGGAACGCTGCACTTCCCTTCTGTTGTATTCTCACAGTTTCACAAAAACATTTCCCCCAGGAATTGATATTCCCCCAGTAACACCAGAGATTGGTTGAATGATGCATTTACTATCTTCATCAATCAAAAAAAAAGAGTTGCTCCTAAAATCCAGTTGTTAAAATTGGATTCAGATAAAAATATCACATGAACGTAAATGTTCAGCCATTACGTAGAAAGACATTTCAGTTTGATTTTTATCTAACACTAACGTGAATAACCTAAGGGAAGTGCTGAATGGTGTTGGCAGGGGTATTAAACGTGCATTTTTACTCAACTACCTCAGGTATTCAGTAATGCAATGAAAAACAAAATTGTTCGTTTTTGTTTTTTAAAAAAATTTTATATACTTTATAAAGAGAAAAGTCCAATTTTTTTTTTTTAAAAGACATTTAATCAGCTACCAATAACAGGCAAAATAACTGAGGAAAGAATTTTACTTCTGGCTGGTGAAAATAAAATTGGAAAAATAAGGTTTTTTGAGGCTTTTGACACAATTACTAGTTAGCAAACCCAATAAATACTCAAAGATATGGAGCAGTGCCTATGTTTGGAGAGCAGCGATACCTTCTTTTTTTTATTTGTGTATGGTAGGGAGAGTTTTTGATGGTACTAACAGAGCAAAGTGGTGGCGGCAGGAAGTTTTGGAATGGCTAGTTTAAACGGCTTCGGGAGACTTGGGTTTTTGTTAGGTTACATGATTGAATCCATAAATGCTTTGTGCTTTTGACTATCACTACCTAAGGAGGAGGTAATAGCTCCCGTGGACTTTAAATGACACAAGGAAGCTTCAGCTTGTCTTTCAGGAGGCTCAGCTTGCCAGGACACTTCAGCCCGGATGGTCTGCACTCTGCGCAGGACCCCAAAAAGAAAGGCTTTGTAAAGATCACTAGGCAGTCAGTGTATAAGTGTTTAAAGGTGCAACATCTGGGTGTGCCAGGCACTGTCTGTGGGCCTCACTAAGCTATTTGAAGATTTTTTTAAACAACGATGGGGGTGGGGGAACAACTAAAAGACCACCTAAAATTAATTCTATAAAATGCAGCAGGATTTCTTGTATACTTACAACCAGCTGTTGAAAAAGTCTGTCAGGTCAGGAATACAGGAAAGTAACTTTTGGAATATAATTTAAATGACTGTGATAAAATACTTGCCCTTTGATAATGAACTTGGTTGGCCAATCTTTAATTTGATGGTAAAGCCTGGTGCGGACAGCTGTGTGGGTGGTTTCCAAGGCCATGCTGCTCTCAGAATTGTTTTTGTGTTGCTTTCATTCATAAGATGATCACAGTCATCATGTTAAACTGATTTAAATAAGGGCATATACAAAACAATCCTTTTTAAATCGATTTGCCTAGTTCATATTTCAAGATCAATTTCTACATGGACCAGGTATGTTTTTTCTGAAGATCAATATATGAATTACATTTTTAATGTGGTTTGAAAAGTTTTCAGTAAAGAAGTTTATTTTGTGTTTTAACCAAAAAAGTGCCCCTTTTTTGTCACTGGATTCATGATTTGTTTTCATACAATGAATTGAAGTTAAAAACACAAAACACAGATTCTTGCTTTCTGGCTCGATTTCAGGTGAGCTGTATGCCAGAGTTCTTCCTCAATAGTTTATTTTTTCCAGTATTTGATTTTTTTTCTAATACAGAAAGGTGCTGCATTTGTATCTGCTGGTTTAAATCCTGTCATATGTCACTTTGAGCCTTTTAGTGTGGCAAATCATGTTTTACTTTCAGTTAAGCATTGGTAATTTGAAGTATCTGGTAATGGCTAGGAAGTCTGTAATGGAGTTTTGTACTCATCACGTATGGATCATTCCTCATCTATAATGTGTCCCCAGTGCAGCTTCATTTTCCAGATACCTTTATGCAGAATAAATTTTTCATCATTAGATGGAGCTTAATGTGTGGTGTTTTATTTTTGGTTTTCGTGTATGTGAAAGCTCTGGATTTGTTGTTATGTGCCGTCGAGTCGCCTGCGACTCATAGCGACCCTATGTACAACAGCCCTAAACTCCATTCTGTCCTGTGCCAATCGCACTGTCTCTGACACTCCCATCCCAATTATCCCAGTCACTGAATCAATCCACCTCAGAGAGAGCCTTCC